TGCATTTTCCTTGGTTTTTATTTTCTCGTGTTAGATTGGTCAAAATGTTTTGGAAACTATTTTTCAAAAGAACTTATTTTCCTCTAATTTTTTTTAAAAAAATGACTTATGTACATAAAATACTCTTTCAATCTCACGAACCCAAACTTGGGATCTGACTAGAGACCGATGGCGACTCAGGTCGTAACCCCGACTCTAATCTTGAATTGAGATCAGAGACCTAACCTTGAGCCTGAATCTGATCTTGAGGGGTCAGATTTCAATCTTTAGGTCAGGTCTCTTGGGTTGAGGATCAAGTTAATGTTAGGGTCAGGGATCATGTCTCAAATCGGGGTGGTGGACAAGGTTAGGGTCGTGTCTCGAGTCGAGGTGGGGGACAAGGTTAGGGTCGTGTCTTGGGGTCGTTGGTAGGGTCATGTCGGTCTGAAGTTTGAATTTGTGTTAAATAGAGGGATTCACGGTTCGGTATCATAGTATTTCCCTAGAATATATCTAAATTATCTTTTTATTAACCAATCATAAGAAAATAAGTAAGAAAATTATTTATTTACATACGAGACACACCCTAAGGGCCTGTTTGGAAAACCACTATAATAATTGGATTTTGTGTAATTACTAGGCAGCTTCAATTAACTGGATTTCCAAACAGACCCTAATAGAGAATTCTCATGTATGTAACCCAAAACATTTTTCATCTTCCTAAACCTAATAGTTTAGCATTTTATCACCGCTTACTATGTGGAGCAGCTTCTTCTGGTTCATTAAATTTGAATCTCCTCCGTCTGAAAATGCCGAAGAGAAGAAGGTATCACGGGCGTAAAAAACCCCCAAAACAACCTAAAAATTCGGTGGACAGAATTTCCAACTTGCCAATCGAAATCATCCGTGAAATTCACTCTCGCCTTCCATGGAAATATGCAGTCAAAACTAGTATTTTGTCCAAAAAATGGCAAAGCATTTGGACTTCTCACCCTAGAATTTTGTTGGACGAAATTGATTTCGGTGCCGACTATTCAGAATACAGTGTTACAGACAAAGCCAAAAGAGATGCCTTCTTAACTTACTTGATCAAGTCCTTAGAAATCCGTGAGAGGCCCTCTGAATACAATTGTGCAGTTGAAAATCTCCTTCTTCGAATGACAGTTGAAAATTCTTCTGCTGAACTGCTGGTAAACAAGTGGATTTCTGTTAAATATAGCATTCTTGGTCTCTGTTAAATATTTACAAAACTCTGCTTGTTATCTTTAATTGAAATTGTGATGTTTTTCTAACTGGAAACACACAAAAAAATTGTCAAAAATCACAAAACCAAAAGCTACATTAAAGACGAGAAATAACAAAAATTGCATCAGACTCTGAAATATTCCAAAAATAACACCAACTACAAAATCTGTACTTCATCAACTCTGAAACATTCATGGTAATGGAAAAAATTACTTACTGATAATTCACATATTATTTCCAATTTAGGAGATGTCCGAAGGAACCCCATCAACTCCTTCCTTATCTTCAAGCATCGTCTTTCATCAACATTCTCAGAAGGGAAAGTATTTGACTTTCCTCCTCGAAATTAAAAAAAAAAACGGAATGAGAACCTTCAAGTTGTTAAGGCATGTGCAGAGCCTCTCTGCTTCAGTACCGAAAGCAAAAGACGTTTGGTAGTAACTATCCAGAATAAGATGACTAACTTTAGGCCAGCTATTGAGTAGATAGGTCAAGTTCATCACTTCATCTTGTTGGTGTTGTTTTCAGTTTGGGACAGTTTATGAAATGTAACAACTTAAAGAGCTGCAATGTCGTCTAATTCTAAGGGTAATTCAAGTAGTATAGGCCTTTTGAGCTAGTGGAAACCCCTGAAACTGCTCGGTAACCTGATAATGCATCTACAGACAATGGCGGAGCCACCTTATTGTCAAGGGTTCATCCAAATCCCTCGGCGGAAAATTATACTATTTATACATGATTAAAATATTTTTTTAGGTATATATATATAGAGTAGATGCCAAACCCCTTCAGCTACTTCGTGTATTTATTTCTTTAGATTTTGAACCCCTTATTGAAAATCGTGACTCCATCACCGTCTATAGGAAGACAATTTATAAAGATAATTGGAGATGCCCTTAGAAGGGGCAAAGTATTTGATTGTTTATGAATTGATCCAACTTAAAAGTCGTATACCCATTCATAAGGTTTGACATCACAACTAAAAAGGTGCAATGTCGTCTAAAGATTTAGAAGGCAGGGTGGCCTAATAATGCAATTGGACAGATATCATGAGACCCTGAAGCATGGCTTTAGGTCCCAGAAAAATAATTATCTACTTATAACTAGTTAGTATTCATTGAAATTTTCTTAATAGTGGTATTATATAAATATAAAATAGTTATGTATTTATCATTAGTATTAATTGAAATTTTCTTAAGAGTTTGTTGTCCATCTTTTATCAATTATTTATGTACATATTTTCAAAGTTTTATCACTTTTTAAAATACGATTGATGTAATTATAATTAAAAATTATAGGCAATTAAATATGCTGAATCAATCGTGTTTTACATTGGCTTTGTAAGATATTTCCAGCTCAAATTAATTAGATTATCAAATAATTAAACTTTAAAAAGTCATTATCTTAACTTTGAACATCTCCTAATTAAGCATAACAATCCCTATAATATCTTAATTCTATTTTAAAACACTTTTAAATAATTTTGATAGTTTGTGTAACAATTGACTTAATTGAATTTTTTTTGAAACATTAATCAATAAGTATTTATCCAAAATATAAACATGTGTAATGTTATGTAACGTACAATAATTTATATATACATATTTGTCTCTTACCACAAGAAATACTCCTATTATATTGCCAATTGAAAAAAAATAATTTATTTTTAAATTATTATTAACTATCATATATTTTAAGAATTTCCAAGAATAAAATATATATATAAAAACTTATTACGTAAACATAAGATATCTTTTTTTAAATTTGGCTTAGGACTCTCATTCTATTGAGTGTTATTGTCAGCGATGTTATTTGTGTGGTTATCTATTTTGCAAGTGCAATTATTTCAAGCTATAGACATTTCGGCACTCTCATTCTCATTCTATGTGTTGTTATCTATTTTGTAAGTTCAATTATTTCCATCACCAGACAATTCAGATTGAATGTTGTTATATGTTTACAAATTCAATTATTTCTAACTTCATAGAGTTTATAAACTGGCCCAACTCAAACATAGATAAGATTTCTTTCAAACAGTTTATGAACTAATCCAACTCAAACATAGATAAATTTTGAAGAAAAAGTTTTCTTCTCTACCAAACACACCAATCTCTTGTTTCAATTGAATAACTCATTTTTATATGTTACCACACTTTTATTTTTGTGTGTGTGTTCCGATTCGTCCACTAAATAGTTAAATGAATCATATAAAAATATGTCTTTTTATTTATTTATACACATTAATCTCAATAAGCCATAAAACTCTAAAATATTTGTTTAACTATATGATAAACAAATAAAAACATAACATAAGTTTTTTCTTCTTCAAAATTTGAATAAAAAATACGTATTCAATTGACACATAAGTTAATTCAAATATTTAAAATGAAATATGTTGATAAGTTCAAAGATCACTAAATAAAAGATGCTAAATATTACTTCCTTTGTCCCAATATTATGTGACACTTTTCGTTTTTCAAGAGTCAAATAGTTTAAGTTTGATCGAAAATTTGTGCATGAAATCTTTAATTTTTTTGAAATAAAATTTATATATTTGTAAATTACGTAAAAAGTACTATAAGTCACGATAATTAATAATTCAGAATATTTAAAGATCTATGAAAAACTTACGATCAAAGATAGACTTGTTTAAATCTCAAAATTCAAAAAGTATCACATAAAATGAGATGGAGAGAATAATATTAGTAACAATAACAATTAAGAAATAGTCCACGCTGATTGCGGGCCAATCTGACCCGGAATGCATACTGGGCCTTCACCTTAAAGAGTCACAAATTAAGCTATGCGGGCTAATCTGACCCGGAATGCGTACTGGGCCTTCACCTCACAGAGGCACAAATTAGGGTTTCAGAGGCGCTCCTTTCCCTATAAAACTCAAAAAACTCCAGGCTTTATCATCAGTTATTCTTAACCCAGCATTTTCTTTGCTTCAATGGTGTTCCCCGTTTCTCTGTTCACATTGGAGTAATTGTTTTACTTTCTGTTCTTTTCTGTTTTATTTGCACGTAGCCTCCCGGGCTCATCTGAGTTTATATAGTGAAGTTAGAAGCCCCAAAGCTCGTGCTAAATTTAATCGCCGCTAGTGTTGCAGTTTAGCCCTTTGTACCTTCTATTCATGGCTAATTTGTGTCAAATCAACGGCAACATCCCCAATTTTGTAAGAAATTTCTGTAATTTCTTAGAATTTGGCGATGATTAAAACGGATTTATCCGCGCTTCTGAGAGAAATCGATGAAGCATAACATAAATTGGTTGAATTTCTTGATATGAGCCAGATTTATCTTCTGTTGTCACAAATTATTTTGGCAGTGATGATTTTCTAATACAGCTTTAATGCCAGTTCTGCTTCTGATTTTCTGTGATTGATAGAGCTGTTTATATTACTGAGCCTCATAATCTTATACTACTTAATCCTTTTTATTTGCTTATAATTAAATCTATGACGAGATCTGAAATTGCTGGATAGTATTTGAGATTGCAATTAGCATTCATCATGAAATTATTTAATTTCTCTGAGATTCAGAAATTTTTATTCCCAATTTTTTATTTATTTATTAGCAGCCGATGATGATCCAATCCAACGGTGAGGTGTAGTGGATCTAAGGTCCCTGCTTTTGCAGGGGGAACCTCCTTATTTTCACTGCATCAATCATGATCACACCGGATTTTACTGAGGCTATTCATAGTTTTGTTCTTAATTTTTTTTTCTTAAGTATGTGTTTAACTTTGAGTTTTAACTATACTCTTGCTCTAGAATATATTAGTGGGGTTAGGGTCTGAAAAAACTCAGAAAGTTAGTGCTGTTTATCAGCTTCTTCTCTTGAATAATTCAACGAGATGGAGTTAAATCATGGCACTAAATCAGTTTATAAATTTTGTATGTTGCATTGAGTTTTACTCAAATTGTATTATGCTCACTTTGTGGTGAGTGTAAATGAGAACTCATAAATTGTGTGCAGTCCATCACCTCCTATCTTGCATTTTTTTCACTAAGATTGGAGTTAAATATCAGCACTACATGTTTGTAAAATATTACTCTTATATTTTTCTATGGTGTTAATTTTTTTGTAAAATTGTTGAGACTATTAAATGTTGAACAAATTTATTTTTATATTTTTTAACTTGGTCCACAGCATTGTATAAATGTGGGTGGCAAAAGAGAATTATAACTTATGAAATAGAATTATAAATTATGTTATATATGATAATGACTGTCCAAGCAAAGCCCAAAATCACAAACTTTAAGTTTGCATTTTGCATTTGTTTCTTAAGAATGTGTTAATACCAGAAAGTATATTGAGAGTATCAGAATGAGTTTTAGGCGTATTTGTTTTGAAACTCTACCCGGTGGCTGTTAACGAGGATGATTGAAATTCTAAAGAATGAGTTTTATGAGACCATATTTCAAGGATGATTCATATTCTAAAGAATGAGTTCCATGTTATCTTTTTTTTTTATAACAAATTTATCCATTGATCAACAAATATAGTTGTGAAAATGAGAGGTATTAACGAAATATTCAGGTGAGATGTCTTAATGCCTTTTGTGTATTTGTTTTGCAGAGAATTGTCTTGTTCTAGCAAAATTGCTTTAATTTCTAACAATTTTGCTAGAGCAAGCCAAATATTAATGTAATTCTGTTGCAAGATGAATACAAGAAGATGAGACATTAAAATATTTCACTTTAATATTTCATTAATACTTTTATTTTCATAACTATGTTGTTGATCGATGAATAATATTGTTGTCGAGAAATGGTTTCATGGAACCCATTCTATAGAATATGAACAATCATACTTATAAATGGCCTTCCTTCCTACATGTGCTGTGTAGGATTACAAAAGTTATACCGGTCTCACCGACTAGTTTCAGGGGTTTCTTCAAGCTCAAAAGACTAATGGCCCGTTTGGCCATGCAATATGGTATTATGATATAGTATTATGATATGAAATCATGAGATGAAATTGAAATTTTGTTTAGACATGCGATACGAATTTTTTGTGTTGTATATTTTCTCATAAACATAAAAATCTCATAAGTTGTAAAATTATTAAAATAGCCCAATTGATTATTTAATCTTATCAAATAAACAAAAATTTATAAAATCGTATAATAAATTATTATAAAGTTATTTGTTCTCCACTTAAGTAGTTGTTTTATCTAACTTTAATTTAATAAAAAAAATTAAACATAAATTGTATTGTACTAATCTTTAATATAATCCTTCCACATAATACGAATAATTTCTTCACGTTGAACTTGCATTTCTCTATCATGTGACTGAGAAGATGAACTAACATTGTTATTTTTGAGCCATTTGTTGATCAATATTATTTGCAATTAGATTTTTATGCTCATAGGCCATAAATATTTCATCACTTTAACAATCGGTTGGTGTGAGTTAAAGTGATTATATGTTGGTGAGAATAATAATTTTTAAAAAGTAATGTTGTGATTATAAATTTTATTTACATATGAAATAAATGGTCAGTAGATATAAATGTGAGGTTGTTTTAATAAAATATAAATTTGTGGATCAATTTTTGTATTAAAATATCTCAAATCATGATATGGAATTCCCATATAATTTTATATCATGGTTTTTGGAGAATATGAAATCACATCTCATGATATGGAATCATGAGATGGAATCAGCGTAAAATCGCATGTCCAAATGATGATTCCATCTCATGATACGCATGGCCAAACGCCTACTAAAATCCTCTCCATTTCACAAATGTCAAATGTACAAAATTGCATTTAATCTTGTGGCCTTAAATATGTCACATGGAAAATTGAAATTAAAATATTACCAAAAAAAGAAAGAGATCATTCTTTTTTAAACAAATTAAAAAAGGAAAGAAGGTTATTCTTTTTGAAACGGAGGGAATATTAATAAGTGGCTAAAAGCAATACTTTCGAAATTTCCCTAAACCCGAAACACTAAACCCTAAACAATCAGAAATAAAAGATGAAAGAAAAGAAAAGAACTATTTGAGGCCACAACACCGATTGTGTGCCCTTAAGGAATTTAAGAAGTAGCAGTACCTCAAACTTCGAGAACTTCAACAAATGCAAAACACAACAACGAATCACACAAACTATTTTGTTTTGTAAGAAAATATATGCAAAAGAATGAAAAATTGGAGGTAAAATGTCACAACTCTTCGGAAAAGGCACAATTGAAAGCAAATTAGTTTGGCAACGTATGAAAACTCCTATACACTCTGCAGTGGCAACTGGAGGTATGATTAATCCAAATAATGCACAAGAGAGAAGTAAAAACAATGTACTTCATTTAAATCAAAGTAAATATATGGAGATTGCAAATGAATTTGGATCAGTATCTTCAAGTAAAACCAATTGCAAGATCGGCTAGTTTGTTCTCCAACCAAATATTGTAAGCTTGAAAATTTATCTGCATCATATTGAGATCTAATTTGATAAATGCAGATACAAGGAAATCGTTCACAAGCCAGCAACATGAGAAATCTGTAGGGCGTGGAATGTATGATCATCGCGAAAAAGCACAACAGAAGTACGAAACTATATTTTGGTGAGCCTTTGTACCTATACATTAAATTGAATGTGTCATTTTTTTTCTTCTTTAAATTGCTTTGTATCTCAATATATTCATACTCATGCATTCTAATCTTGCATTCTTCTTGATGCATACTTCACAACTCGTCATAATCTGCAGAATTTACCAGTTGAGTTTGTCCGAAAGTATATGCCAAAGACTTCAGAACTAATTGAACTTCAAGATACTGATGGAAATAAGTGGAATGTCTGTTGTATTAGGAGGAAACATCGGGTGCTTTTAAGCAAATGATGGTTGAACTTTGTTACGGATAGCAGTTTACTGGTAGGAGATGTTTGCGTCTTTGAGTTGATCAAAGACGTTCATGCTGATGAACTAATGCTGAAAGTGCACATGTTTCGCAATAGGGTGGAAGAAATTTTGAAAAATTTACACACTGAACGACCCACCCTTTGATCTATGTCGTGTTTAACCAGGTCTGATTAGAAGTTCCAAAATGAGATAACGCACTAGAGACTCAGAGAGAGATCAGAAGCAAAACTCGACAAGGCAAAGGCGGAACCCAGATGCTACACTAAACTAGGCGTTACCTAGGGCCGCACGACGTAGCCTATCTGTACCAACCCTGTCTACCGGTAAAAATTGTATACTTTAGTTCGAGGAAAGTAAGCATACATAGAGTTCAGATGCATTCGAACCATTATCTTCAGATAGAACCAATCACAAGACTGGTTAGTTTGTGAAAGAGTTGGTTTGTTTTTTTGTGGAATCAAATTCAATGGAAGATGAATTAATATGAAGATTTGATAGGAATATAATTCTTTATTAGTACAAAATAAAAGTCAAGATAGTATTTTGGTAGGTGAAATTTATGTAAATCATAAAATGGTTTCACATGTTTAACCTTGACATTTTGACACATAGTGATGTCATGGACGACATCAATAGGAAGAATTCATTTCTATAAATAGGTAGCTCTTAGTTCATTTTCAAGACATCCTCACTTGCCTTCTCACCTTCTAAGACATTTGATCTTCTCTCTCTTGTAGTATTTCATTTGTACTATTTTGGAGTGAAATAAATATTGGTGCAATTGTTCTCTAGTGGACGTAAGATCATTATGATCCAACCACGTTAAATATTGTTGTTCTTCCTTGTTCTTTAATTTTACGTTTTCACTAACAATTGATATCAGAGCCAAGGTTTTGTCTGAGTATGCTCTGTGGTTGCAACATAGTCTGAACTTCACATCAGAAAAGAATTACTTCGATTTTCTGTATTTCCAAATACATTGTAGTATAAGAGGAAGAACAAGTAAAGATGAGTTCCATGAAGTTTGAAATTGATAGATTTAGTGGGCGCAACAACTTCAATATCTGGAAGATACATATGATGGCGTTATTGTGGAGGGAAGGTTCAATCCATGTTATTGACGAAAAGTACCCCGATTTCTGACAAGGAGAAGATTGAAAGAGATGCATTGAGTGTAATCCAACTGTCCCTTGCACCTAACGTACTCTGTGAAGTGAGTTATGAAAAATGCTGGAATGGCTTTACAAGGACCGGTCAGTGACAACAATGTTGTTGTTACAACGTCGTCTTCATACATTTAAGATGGATTTAGGTACTTTGTTGCAGGACCATCTAGATACGTTCAATAAACTTGTGATGGACTTAGAGACTGCTGGAATTAAAAAGGATGATGAGACACTTGCATGTGCTTTGCTATTTTCATTGACTTCAAAATATCATGATATTGAGAATTCAATGATGTATAGCAAGAAGTCTATCACTCTTGAGCAAGTGTGGCAAACACTTAACTCTTGTGATGTGCGGATGCATTTTGAAGGAGACAAAGGTGATGAAACTAGTGGGCTCTTTGTGAGAGGTCGTACTAGCCAACATGGAAGGAGTAAAATCGAAGTACAGATCAAAGTCTCGTGTGAACAAGAAGAATGAGGAGTGTTGGAGCTTTCACAAGAAGAGGCACTTTGAACGAGATTGCCCTATGTTGAAGTCCAATAAAAAGGCGAGTGCATCCATTGTTGAGCAAGTACATGATTCTGATGATGATTATGTACTAATAACATCATGCAATAGTGGAGTTTATGACAACAAATGGGTCTTAGACTCTGGTTGTACTCTGTATATGACATTCCGAAGAGATTGGTTCAGTAGCTATGAAACAAGTGGAGGAACCATATTAATGGGCAATAATGCAACTTGTAAAATAGTTGGCATTGGTTCTGTTCGTGTTCGCTGCCATGATGGAATCGTGAGGACTATTACAGAAGTCCATCATGTTCTTGATCTAAAGAAAAATTTGATCTCCCTGGGTACTTTGGATAAACAAGGCTACAAGTACATGAGTGAAGGAGGAACTATGAAAGTGACTAAAAGGTCTTTAGTCATGTTGATGGCCAAGCTGGAGGATGGCCTCTACACACTTGCGAGAAACACCTTTATTGGCTCCGTAAATGAATCTATAGTGCAGTTATCTAATGATGACAAGACAAAATTATGGCACATGAGACTAGGTCATATAAGCGTATGAGGATTGGATATGTTGAGCAACCACAACTTTTTGAATGGTGAGAAGATTAGCACACTTGAATTTTGTGAGCACTGCGTCTTAGGGAAGCAGAAAAAGGTCAGCTTCAACATTGGCAAGCACAATATGAGAGGGGTGCTAGACTACATCCATTCAGATTTATGGGGTCCCTCTAAGCTTCCATCGAAGGGAGGAAAGATGTATCTCCTCACATTCATTGATGATTTTTCACGAAAGGTTTGGGTGCGTTTCTTGAAGGCAAAAGGTGATGATTTTGAAACATTTAAAGAGTGTTAGATTTTGGTTGAAAATCAAATGGAGAGAAAAATAAAGTATCTTCGCACAGACAATGGCTTGGAGAAAAATCATTTGTACTCTTTTGGAGTGAAATAAATATTGGTGCAGTTGTTCTCTAGTGGACGTAGGATCATTCTGATCCGAACCACATTAAATATTGTTGTTCTTCCTTGTTCTTTAATTTTACATTTCCACTAACAGTTTGTTTAACCAACAGAAAATCTGAAGCTCGAAAAACTTATCTGCATCATACTGAGAGCTAATTTGATGAATTGCAGATACAGAGAATTCATCCGGACAGCAACAGGAGAAATCCGTAGTGCATGGAAGCTCTGGTAATTGTCGTAAAAGAGGACGACCAAGGGATGCAGAAGCAAACAGGGCAACTACTGCTGCCAAAATGTTTACTCCAGAAAATCCTTACGATAACTCTTGAAGAATATAACGTGGTGCGGAACTATATTCTGGTGAACCTTTCTACCTATACAATAAACTAAAGGTGTCTGATTTTTTTAAATTTTTATTTTTTGGCTGAAACTGCTTTGTATCTTAATATGTTCTTTACTCATGTAAACTAATTTAACATTCTTATTGAATCTTGACACATACTTCGCAATTTGTCCTAATCTGCAGAATATACCACCTAAATTTGTCCGAGGTTATATGCCAAAGACTTCAGAACCAATTAAACTTCAAAATTCTGATGGCAATAAGGGGACTGCACATTGCCTTAGGAGGAAAACGTGTATGTTTCTAAGCAAAGGATGGGTACATTTTGTTAGGGATAATAATTCAGGCTGACGAACTTATGCTGAAGGTGCATATATTCCGCAATAAGGTGGAACAAAATTCCATAATTTGACGCACTTGTAGTGATCTGAATAAATATTGTCTATCGGTAAATGAGGGAGGTGATATTTTTTGGATGATCTTCTTTGCCTTTTTTTTTCTTTCCAATTGGAGCCTTGTAAGTTGTAACTCTAGCTGTTGATATGTCCATATTAGCAATGCAGAGGCTATTTTCTTGATATTCCTTTGCCCTTTTTTGTTTGTGCATTTTTTTCTCACATGCTTTCCATTGGTCAACAATCAGCCAAAGTTCTCTAACAGAGACTTGATGGAGTTAAGCTGAATTGAGGGGGAGTCATTTTGTCACAATTGTGATTTCTTCATAAAATTCTGAATAAATGCAAAGTACTTTCTTTAATTCATTGATGGACGTTAAGGGGGTGTCAAATGAGGGTTGAATTAATAAGTAGTTGGGGTCATTATTTTGTTGTTTTATCGACGATAATGACTTCATTATTATTTTTACTTCTTTATTTCTTTTACGAGAGTGTTTCCTTAACAACCGCGGCTACTAACAACACACTATTACTACTTACTAGCATCAACTTTTGCATGGTACTCCGAATTTTTTTAAGTAGAATGCCAAAATTGCTATTTTTAAGTAGTTGAACTTTTGTTCAAGTGTGTTATGCAGCAAAGATTGGATCACTTCATATGGAGTGGTGCTTTATTTTTCCTCACAAGTTTTATAGACAAGAGCATATTAATGAGTGAGACTTTGGTGGATAATGGCCAAAGAAGAATATTGACTGAATTATTGAAGTATATAAATAGAGAAAAATGGTTAATTTTACTACATGAGAAAAGGAAAAGGGCAAATGCCCTATGAGGATCTTAAGATTTTTGTAATTTATTTTCCTTTTACATTTTCCCCTTCAACATAAAGAAGCACATAGGGTTAAGGATGCGCCGCGAGTTCATCTATTCTCTTAAAATTTGGCAGCAAAAGAGGTTATGGAAAAGGGCTTTTTCAAGGTTTTTATCCCTCAAATAGTGCAAATCGACTGGTAAATACACTTCCCTCTCGTGGTATTTGATTTCTCGAGACTTTTTTTTCTTGAATTTATTTATTCTTTAGGAGATGCGACAATGGATTAAAGAAAGTACTTAGCATTTATTCACGTTTGGAATTCAGAATTTTATGAAGAAATCACAATTGTGACAAAATGACTTCCCCCTCAATTCAGCTTAACTCCATCAAGTCTCTGTTAGAGAACTTTAGCTGATTATTGACCAACGGAAAGCATGGGAGAAAAAAATGCACAAACGAAAAAAGGCAAAAGAATATCAAGAAAATAGCCTCTGCATTTCTAATATGGACATGTCAACAGCTAGAGTTACAAGGCTCCAATTGGAAAGAAAAAAAAAGGCGAAGAAGACCATCCAAAAATATCACCTCCCTCATTTACCGATAGACAATATTTATTCAGATCACTACAAGTGCGTCAAATTATTGAATTTTGTTCCACCTTATTGCGGAATATATGCACCTTCAGCATAAGTTCATCAGCCTGAATGCCCTTGATCAACTCAAAGACACAAGCATCTCCTAACACTAAACTATTATCCCTAACAAAATGTACCCATCCTTTGCTTAAAAACATATAAGTTTTCCTCCTAAGGCAATGTGCAGTCCACTTATTGCCATCAGAATTTTGAAGTTTAATTGGTTCTGAAGTCTTTGGCATATAATCTCGGACAAATTCAGGTGGTATATTCTGCAGATTAGGACAAATTGCGAAGTATGTGTCAAGATTCAATAAGAATGTTAAATTAGTTTACATGAGTAAAGAACATATTAAGATACAAAGCAGTTTCAGCCAAAAAAAAATTAAAAAAATCAGACACCTTTAGTTTATTGTATAGGTAGAAAGGCTCACCAGAATATAGTTCCGAACCACGTGATATTCTCCAAGAGTTATCATGAAGTAAGGATTTTCTGGCGTAAACATTTTGGCAGCAGTAGTTGCCCTGTTTGCTTCTGCATCCCTTGGTCGTCCTCTTTTACGACGATTACCAGAGCTTCCATACACTACGGATTTCTCCTGTTGCTGTCCGGATGAATTCTCTGTATCTGCAATTCGTCAAATTAGCTCTCAGTAATGCAGATAAGTTTTTCGAGATTCAGATTTTCTGTTGGTTAAACAAACTAACCAGTGTTTGCTTCTGCATCCCTTGGTCGTCCTCTTTTACGACGATTACCAGAGCTTCCATGCACTACGGATTTCTCCTGTTGCTGTCCGGATGAATTCTCTGTATCTGCAATTCATCAAATTAGCTCTCAGTGATGCAGATAAGTTTTTCAAGCTTCGGATTTTCTGTTGGTTAAACAAACTAACCAGTCTTGTGATTGGTTCTATCTGAAGATAATGGTTCGAATGCATCTGAACTCTCTGTATGCTTACTTTCATCGAACTGAAGTATACAGTTTTTACCGGTAGACAGGGTTGGTTCAGATAGGCTACCAGTGTGTAAATTTTTCGAATTTTCTTCCACCCTATTGCAAAACATGTGCACCTTCAGCATTAGTTCATCAGCCTGAGCGTCCTTGATCAACTCAAAGACGCAAACATCTCCTACCAGTAAACTGTTATCTGTAACAAAGTTCAACCATCCTTTGCTTAAAAGCACCCGATGTTTCCTCCTAATGCAACGGACATTCCACTTATTTCCATCAGTATCTTGAAGTTCAATTAGTTCTGAAGTCTTTGGCATATACTTTCGGACAAACTCAACTGGTAAATTCTGCAGATTATGACGAGTTGTGAAGTATGCATCAAGAAGAATGTAAGATTAATATGCATGAGTATGAATTTATTGAGATACAAAGCAGTTTAAAGAAGAAAAAAATGACACATTCAGTTTAATGTATAGGTACAAAGGCTCACCAGAATATAGTTCCGTACTATGTTGTATTTTTCAAGAATCTGCAAGAAGTAAGGATTTTCTGGAATGAACATTTTGGCAGTTTGAATGGCCCTGCTCATTTCTGATGCTTTCTGTTGTGCTCTTTCGCGACGATCATACCTTCCAAGCCCTACAGATTTCTCCCGTTGCTTACTCGTGAACGATTTCCTTGTATCTGCATTTATCAAATTAGATCTCAATATGATGCAGATAAATTTTCAAGCTTACAATATTTGGTTGGAAAACAAACTAGCTGGTCTTGCAATTGGTTTTATTTGAAGATACTGATACAAATTCATCTGGAATCTCCATATATTTACTTTCATTGAAATGAAGTACATTGTTTTTACTTCTCTCTTGTTCATTATTTGGATTAGTCATACCTCCAGTTGCCACTGCAGAGTGTATAGGAGTTTTCATACTTCGCCGAACTAATTTTCCACCTACTGGCTTAGTTAAACTGCCATTGCCCGATATGTTCAAATTCTTTGCATTTAATAGCTGTCCGTTATCATGTAATTTGTTTGTTCTGCTTCTTGTTTCATAGCAGCGCGAAATCTTAATCTTTCCAGATGCAATTTTACGTCTTTTGGCTCTATGTGAAAGTTCAGATGACTTAGCTGAACTCTCTGGTCCCTGCTCAGTTTCCAAAAGATCCACAATTTCAACGGAGCTCGTGACACCCTTATCACCAACAATTTTATCCTTTCCGTGAGAAAGATCCTGAGCAACGTCACGTGATTTAGCATTACCATGACTCCTAAGTTGATAATCAATCTCAGTTGCGGCTAGGTCAAATATGTGGACATTGAAACATGAGGTCTGTCCATATTTGAACAGTAAAAAGTACCAACAGTTGACAGAATGATGTTCCATAAACTCTTGCCAACCATCATGAAGCCAAATCATTTTACCAGCCTTCTTCACGCCCACAGACCAGAAATCATCAGTGGGAACAATAATCTTGACGGTATCAAGGAGTTCATCTCCATGTTCCTGGACAAATTTGTCTGGCAACCGCTGCACACAGAAACAACAAACATAGATTTTTAAAATTAAGATCAGACATAAATTATAACCATTTAAGACAAAATTGTAGTGCAGAATTATGAAACTAATTAGAACGATGCAACACAAAAGTTTTACCAACTTCAAATGGAGCGCTCATGTACCAGCAAGCAGAAAAACAATCTTAACAAATAAACAGGGGCCACGAGACTAGAAGAATATGGCTGACAATCTCAAGAATTCGACCAGTACCAACAGTGTAATTTAAAGCCAAAAAATAGCCAATTTGCCATAGATTATGAGGAATCAATATCTGAAATTACACTACAAGTATTAACTACCCTAATTTCTTTTTTGTTATCAACCATAGATTATTCATTCTTTGCTTTGTTATAAAAAGAGAAGTAGACAATTCTACGTAACTTAAGGAAGGGTTACACAACTCCTTGAAGAAGCTGGGACATTGGACAATGTCACTTGCTGCATTGAATTCTGTTTCTCACTAGAATGACATTGAGTACATCAAGGAACATCTCTATCATGGGGAGGCAACTAAAATCTTAAAACTTCAGACATAAAACCTCCATCCGCACCTGATCTTTTACCTTCATTTGCACTATTGAATCGAGCAAAAAGGGATGACCAACTGAACATCATCAGTTTCCACTTAGGTTCAGAGCATCAATACAAGAACCAGGAGATGCAAGTAATTTATGTACAAATTAAGCTCTCTTATATAACATTCTTGAAGAAAATGCCACCTTAGTCCTCCTAGTACTCCATATCACGTTATTGAGTTCAAAAGGTACACTATAATAGCTATGAAACACTAAGATAAGCAGCAGTACAAATATCACGCAGCGATGAATTTCCTTACGGAATCATTGTTTAACTTATGTGCCCAAATTGAAAATGTTCTGCTACTTCTAATTATGTAGAATTACAGGTTCAGCAAAAACCAGTAACTTTAGCTCAAACTCTACATTCATCCAATATGGATAAATATTCTATCAAAAACCCAGTAAGAGAAAATATGGTGGTGGAGTACAGTAGTTTCAAACCACCTAAAAATTGTACTGAACCTTCATATGAGAAAACCTAAACTAGACATCAAAATTCTAAGCTAACTATATTTTCTGGTTCATATATTACAGTTTATGAGTTCTAAATTCTACATATACTACTAGGTCACCTAAAAGATAATTAGGTAAACTGTTCAAAATAAGTCTGAAAGTACCAACCCGTAAAATAAAGGTAATAGTAAATAAATGATACTCCTCGAACTTAGCCTCACCTAACAATTACACACTCCAACTTTGAGAGAGTACATAACTTGCAACTAAACATTCTAACTCGTCCCCATGATGCTAATACCTCTAGATGATCGTTTTGTAAATTGGAGTGTTGATGAGTTGGTCCTCTAGATTTGCATACTCAAAATTGGAGCTTTATCAAGTTTGAATATTTCTATTATGCATAAAACAAAGCATTCAATCAAATTGATACAACCAATTAAATTAGTAGAATGTGCATATAAGTTATAACCTAAATCATCTGTACTATTTTAGTAATAACAACTTACAAGTTGACGATCGTCCACTACAGAGGGCTCAACAATGACGTAGAAACTTCCGGCCGAGTAGGAGTTGGAGCACGATTCCATCATCACGCCGCATGCACTGAGCGATTTCCCGGTTGGCCAGTTTTTTTTTACTCTTTTGGCTAAAATCAAGGGTACAATATGTTCTTACCCGTTTATTATGTAATAAGTGGATCATCGACTAGCTTACCACTCGGCCCTTTACGTGTGGTAGCAGATTTTTCGGCTTTGTAAAATTGAAGGATATATATTCCCATAAATAACAAAATATATTATTAATTATAGGTAATTTAAAATAAATTTCTTTGCCTAAATATTTTATTTTCTCTGTTTTAATGTAGGGATAATTGTACAGAATGACAAACTTATAATCTAAAATAAATGGAGTAGCTACTGTTTGATTTAATTGCGTCCCGTAACAAACGTTTGTCAGTCGCCTCTCTCCCTCCAAATTCTCGCTCACCACTCTCCCTTTCTCGCTCGCCTCTCTCACTTTATACAACATAATTGTATAAATTGCATTTTTGTTTGTATAAAGCGAGAGAAAATTGTATATACACATGCAAATACATATATATTCGTCCTATACACTTATAATTATACAATAAAAATATTCTCCTGCTCAGTTCTCTTTTGCCTTTCTCTCTTTCTCGTTTTATACAAACACATATTATACAATATAATGTAAAATTTATGTTTGTATAATGTATAATTTATGTTTGTATAAAGCGAAAGAAAATTGTATATACACATGCAAATACATATATATTCGTCTTATACACTTATAATTATACAATACAAATATTCCCCTGCCCAGTTCTCTTTTGCCTTTCTCTCTTTCTCGTTTTATACAAATACAGATTATACAAATATAATGTATAATTTATGTTTGTATAATGTATAATTTATGTTTGTATAAAACGAAAGAGAGAGCGATTTTTTATATACAAATATTTTTGCCAACGATTTATACAAACGAGAGGCTAACAACAATTTATACAAATGGCCTGCCAGCGAAATTATACAAATCTGAAGAGGAGCCAACAAATTATACAATTGCTTCTTTTTGTATATATGTATAGCGAAATAGACATATATAGCTTTCAATTGTATATGTATAACGAATAATACATATATATGTTTGCTATGGAGCGCAATTAGGCAAACTTTGTTATAGCATACAAATATGATTTTTTTGTTTGCTATATGTGAAAGTTACTCTTTAATATATTAGTGTGGGTCTGATTTGATATGTAGCTTTAAAAGAAAAAAAATTGTTATCTTATAATTTTAAATTAATGATATGTATATAAAATGTATCGCATTTTAATCTTATAATCTTAAACATAAAGTTAAAATTAAAAAGTTATATAAAAAAATATTTCTAGATCAAACTATTTAACAGTTGTGATTTATAATACTCCTATGTATATTCTATATCAATTAAGGAATTGATATGTATACTAGCACCAAAAATGAAATTGATGATGATCATTTATAACTTCTTTCTCAACTTTGAACTATAGAGGTTCTTCTTCGTCAGATTTCAAACATTGCAACAAGTGTATTGAAATATTAAAAAATAATTTAATTATTATGTGATCAACAATAGCAAGAAACTTTTTTTTCAACCTAAAGCCAATCAATTATGATTTCAAGTTGATTATGGAGTAATTTTTACAGGATACGCAACATACTTCCATCAGAATCTTTAGTAAGATATAGTTAATATTTAATATTAACACTACATTTATAAACCATTTTGAATTAAAATAGTTAGCACTCAGCTTGACCTGATCATATATAAAAATATCTTGGTTACAGACTACGTACCACTATTTAATTAAACTTTTAGAGAGATTAAGTCATACGTAGTTCTTTTACATATCAAATAAAACACATATTCACGGAATAAGAATAAAATCTTTAAGTTACACCAAATGCATATAGTAAAAAACTGAAACGAAAAATAATTTTTTTGAAAAGATTACGTAGATTCAAAAATGGTCAAACACACCACGTGACAAAGAGCAAATTAGGAGAACTCAATGCCTTAATTTGTGGGTCTATTTTTGAAACAACAATATAATCTTTCAAATATGCAAAATTGGTAAATAATAATAATAATAATTACTCTTAATTATGAGAAAACTCTTTAAAATGTATTTAATGATTGCTATTGAACTCTTTAAAAGGTATTTTAAATTTCAATTATTAAATTTTTTATCCTAATTTTTAACCGTTTTCCACCATGTCATTTTAAAATTTTCGATGAGATGGATGCCAAGTACCAATTTTCCCCTTTAAGTTATACAGCATATATTCACTATAATCACTGAATAAAATCTTTACGTTACATATAAATGTATATAGTATGGTTACAAATCAAAACATCCAAAGAATACAAAAAAAATTTAAACCCAAAAAACTGAAAAGGAAAATTCTTTTGTCAATGGGGTGAAATATTCTTAAAAGTAAAATTTGTATAGATTCAAAAATGGTCAAAGAGCAAATTAGGAGAACTCAATCCCTTAATTTATGGGTTGGGTATTTTTTTTTAAAAAAACAACAATATAATCTTCCAAATATAACATTCCTTTGAAGCCCTATATAAGAGTTGTACATGAGTAGCAATTATCATAAACAATTCATACTTTGAAATATTATACAAAAAGTGAAGAGTTAAAAAATGATGAAGAGTTACATTGTGTTTTCTTTCCTCTCCTTCGCAATATTTCTCACCTTTTTTCAACCTGCCTTAGGTAAGTACTGATTTTATAATGTATATGCAAGTTACATTGGCATTTTTAATTTACTTTCATAATTTTGATTAATGTGTATGTATATATTTTTTTTCATGTTTCAGTGTCAGGTGAAATTCAATTTTGTCCGGGAACATTCAAAGCTGATGAGACCTGTGATAAAATAAGATGCGGATATCTAGCTTTATTTAAATGGCCAGCGAGTAAGATGCCTCAGAATTGCAAATGTGCTCCTGCTGGAAAAAATCATAGCACTTGCACATGTATGATAGTTTGTGATGCAAAATTATAATAGCAAGGAATAACAATGCATATTGTATGGTTTTGATGTGGATGACATTAAATATGTGTTGTCTGATTATGAATAAACGTTAATAAAAGTTCTCTTTTTTATGTTCAATCTTAATATTTTTGTATTTAATCGAGCTTATATTTTCATCTTCTTATACTGTAGTTTATGCATAAGGATTTGAAAAATAAAAATCTAATGCTTGAGATTTGAATTTCAATTTGAAACTTCAAGATAAGTTTTGATCTCCCTCAGTCATTACGTCAATATCTAATCTTATGTTCAAGAGATTCAAGATCTATATATATACATAAAAAAATAATCTTAAATGTACAATGTAATTATTTTTTATCAAAAGGATTTGGGTGAACCTCTCTTGGTCGAGGTCACAATATTACAGTAGTGTAACGTTTGTCTTAACAATGAGTCGAAGGATAATACACAGTTTCTCATATATTGGGACAATTAGGGAGAATTTATCTTATGGTCATCCTCCAACGATTTATAACGTAAACGTTCCATTTTTTTATGTCATGTAATAGTCATCTAATTAAGATTTAGTAACTAAAATATAATGTAAACAAATTAACACATTTTTGACAAAAATATTCTTACACTTATGACAAGAAACACTTCTAAAGTAAAGATAAAAATTGATTATTAGGTAACAAGCAAAAACAAAAGGTAAAGAAATGAGCACACTAAATTTGTTACACAAAATGAAATTTTTCGTTATAACAAAATAATACATTAGGTAACAACCAGGGGCGGAGCCATCTTATAGTCAAGGGTTCAACCCCTTTGGTGGAAATTATATTATTTATATATGGTTAAATAATGTTTTTATATATATATACAGTAGATGTCGAACTCCCTTGTACTACTTCATGCCTCTATTTCTTCAAATTTTGAACCTCTTATTGAAAATACTGGCTTCGCCACCGGTAACAACCATCCAAACAAGGGTGGCCGTTTTCAATATTATTCCCCTTCAAAATTACTCTTTTATTGATCAAAAAATAAAATGTTGAATTAATGAATTATTGATTATTAATTTTTGTGTTTGGAGAGGAGAAGTTACAAGTGTCATTAAACTTAATTAACGCTTTTAAGATCTGTAGACTCGGGTTAGAAGCTGCCACGTTCAACAATTTACGCTCTCTTTCTATGTCAAATCAATTCACTTTCTTCCATATACTAAACTAATTAAGCAGATTATGTAACACAATTACAAAAAAAAGTGTTAATTTTTTGAACATTTTGAGAAGAAGATGAGGGGTTTCTCATATTTGAAAAAAGCTCTTCATATCCGTTCTTCTTGTTCCAGGCTTTTGGTTGTTTCTTGTATCAGGTATATGTTCTGTTTGATCTCTTAAAATGTTTGCAGATTTATATAGTTTCTCATTTTCTTCTGTAGTTCTGTTTAATGTGTTCGTTTCATCTAAAAACTTAAATTGTTAGAGAGACATATATTTTTTTTATTTAGTAAATTATGTTTTCAACACGTCCTCTCATGTACGAGCTCGAATTTCATCGATTATCATTTACCTCCTTTATTTGCTATGAAGTTTTTGCACGGATTGCCTCTGTTGCGGGTGGTCTTTAGTTTTTCCCCACAAATATGATGCTCTTTAATTTTTGGTCGGGTCCTCATTAAAGAAAATTTGTAGGCTATAGTATCCTTATTTATGACAAAGTTTCGCAAACATAAAGTTTAGAGGACTTTTTGCTTTGTCAAGCATAAATTTTGTAGGAGTTATCGGGTATAAATTGTGTTGTAGATGATTGCTCGCATAAGTTTAGAGAACTTATTAAGAATTACACAGATGGTGAGAACTCAACCATGGCTGAAACCATGGAAGCCATAACTGGCAACTGAGAGAAGACAATAACAGAGAAGAAAAATGTGATTTGGTAAAATGAGAACTCACACCATTCATTGATCACCAATGAAATACTCATATACATGTGTGAATATGCATCAACTAATCTGGAGAAAGAGAAAATATCTAACTAAGTAATTAGCTCTCTAACCGACCATGACATCACTAACTAACTGAAA